GGAGTTTTCCTCCGGGGGCTTCTCCGGTTTCTCCGTGGCATCCCAACAATTACTCCATACACACAGAAGAAGGCAATGGCAAACCACTTCTGGATCATCTGCCAAGAACGTATATGAACAGGTCCCAGTCCGAGAAAAGGATGGAAGGATCCTGTTCATATGGACCTGTCGCCAATCTCCTGTAAAGGAGACGGCGTAATAAAGAAGAAGAAGAACCTCAAATCTCTCACACATCGAAGTTGTACCCCCATAGACGTTTTACAAGAGGAGCCTTTGTAATTAATGTATTATAATCCCAAAAGTACATGTGTGATGCTGAGTGAACAACTGAAATGTGAAAGAATTTGATGTTTCGTTGCAGATATTGCCATGGATTGGTCGGATCACGCGCTCTGGTGGCCGGCTCGCAACACGTGGCTCACCAGGACACGCTCCACCCTAGACCAGTATGGGGTTCAAGCAGATGCACTTCTGCACTTCACACCAATGCACAAGACCTTAAGGGTTCAGTTGCCTGACCTACGCTACCTTGACTGCAGGGTCAACTTCTCAATCAAGACATTTAATGGCGTCGTGAACCTGTGCAAGGAACTAGGTAAGAATTTCAGTACACTAGTTTTGTAAACACCCTACTCGACATTAAATCACTGTCATAATGCTTAATTTCTTGACTTTTGTTTCTCTCACAATTAGACGTACTCATTTTAGTTGTTTATAAATTTTTCCTTGAAGACTGGCTTTGGGGCCGACCCAGCCGATGGGTATTGGGGTTGTTTCCTAAGGGGTGAAGTGACGAGAGCTTGAAGGTGGCCAGGTTAAGAATGCATGGAACAACACATCCACTGCCCCATACACGTTCATTATTCGTCAATTAAGGGAATGGCAAATTTTAAATAAACATTTCTTCTTCCGTGTTGCGATCTTTGGCACCAGAGTAATTACATTATTTCACTGTGGTTTTGAAAATAACGAATTCATCTGTGTCAGTGATGGTCTCGTGTTGTAACGCAATGTGGACCTGTAGCTAGATACCAACTTTTCGACAAAAATTCTCCCTCCATCTGAAGGGCTTCAGGTACTGAAGATGGAGACAGTATGTTTCTCCAAATCCGTTGGTTTATACCTAAAAATCCACATGGTGTAATAATCCACAAGACCAACATCCTTACTGCTGTGATAACCTCGTATCTACATATTCGGTGATTATAAAATATACGAAAAAAGTAAAATATTCACTTACGTTGAATCCATCCAGATGGAAGTACTGTGCAGTAGCCCTGTGTTTCTCAGTGAAGAGATGTTGAAGGGATATGAGGTAAGCTGTGAAAAAGAGTAACATTCTATTAACGCTGAACATGAAACAAAAATGAAAACCACACTAAATAACGGAAGCAGTACGACCTCTGAAACGTTGGTGGAAATCTACCAGATTACATGGCACAGTAACCCAGAAGACAGCAATCTTCAGACTCGCCGCTGTGAAAACCTCAAATCCTACATAAGTACGAATTTTGCTACAGGTTTCATTTAAGCCCATTTCTAGTAGACTCACTAGTTTCTTTGGTATACCAAATTCAATGATAATATTGTATAACACTTCCAGTCATAGGCTATAAACAATTGATGTACGGTCCCGCTGATCTCCCATTTTTATGGTTTTATTTTGCTTTCTCTTGTAGTATCCTGAAATCTACTACAGTGTTCAGTAATATATAAAATTATAATTTTATATTTTGTGTGACAGGCTGTTAAAAAACAAATATAACTATGTCTTCTGTTACTGGAATACAGATATTATCCCTACAGACGTGTATAAATATCACTGACTCCCGGCTTTAATATTTTTATTTTATTTTAATCTCATCACTAATTTTATGTCTTATGTCATCAGTAATTACTGTTGTTCTGTAGCTTGATGCTTATGTCAACGGTTGTGTGAATGCAGGTATACGACACCCAGAGGAATTGTCGTTCTGCAAACCGCTAGATCCAAATCACCTTAAATACAACCTGAAGGATCTCCCTGGAAACAAGAAGAGGATTTCAGACCCAAGAGGAGGACCAAACAATGGACTACCACCACCAGACACCAACACGTTCATTGCCAACAGCAGCCCATCAGGGTCTACAGGAAGCCTGGACAAGAGCTCACCACCATTCATGTGTGCGCCTGTTACACCAAACCGACATCACACTTCAACACCCATCGGTTCTCCAGTCAACACGGTCAGTCCAGCCTCCTTATCAGGAATAGGTTGTTCAACTTCTCATCTTGTGCTAGGTCTTATGGTCAAATTGAAAGCATAACCAAAGTACACTCCAGTTCCAAGAGTATCGTTATCACAGATATGTGGATGGTTTCTGCATAGATTTTCCAAACACGTTGTATGGCAGAAATACCCAAGCTTGAGTGTGTATACTAGGAAAATTATTATTTTCATCTTTAATTTTCCTATCGCAATAGCTATGACGGCCGTTCGACATTTATCACATGCTCACGTGTTGATTTTGTTTCCAGCAGCAATCTGGGACGTGGAAGAGAAGTAATCATTCACAAAGCTTTGGGGAGATGAATGGTACTTATCAACCAAACACCAATAACAGTATGACTCTTGAGATGCTCAATGGGAGTGTCGATTCATCACTTGCCCACAGCCCATCCGCACCAAGCCCAGATGCTCGAAACCGTCAGCTTCGACCACGGACACTTGTTGAGCGAGCACGGATGAATGTCGCGTAAGTTTGTCCAAAATATATCTCTCACGATTTTAAGAACTATACTTATGGGAACCGAGTACACGTAACATTGCCGTTTATTGCCACGCAAACAGATTAAATTAATCTTACTGAATGACTGCGTTTCAACAGTTGGCTGGACTCTTCACTCTCAATCATGGAGCAAGGTGTAAGGGAGTACGACACACTTTGCTTGCGCTTCAAGTTCTACTCTTTCTATGACCTGAACCCAAAATACGATGGCGTGAGAATCAATCAAATCTATGAGCAAGCCAAATGGCAACTTCTCAACGAAGAGATCGATTGTACTGAAGAGGAGATGCTCATGTTTGCAGCACTTCAGGTAAGTATCGCAATGCGATAACAACACCACTCAAATTCGATGCCGTAACAAATTGACGGACACTGCTGTTATTGCGTTCTCTGGACAGGATAATGAGAGATCGCCAATCTCAAACAATTTGCTAAAACGTGAGTCATTATTCGTATGCAGTTTAAACGTAATCGTGCCGTTTTGTGATTACTCTTGAAGGTGCAAGTAACGTTGCAAGCCGGAGTACCCCAACCGATCCTCAACAGCAGCAGTAATAGTACTGTTGTAGAAGATGATATTGACGCTGCTCTGGAAGACCTCCAAGTGACATTAGAAGGATCACACATCAACTCAGGCCATAATGACATCATGCAAATACCGGAGCTATCAGATTATCTGCGATTCCTGAAGTATGATATGAACATAAGTAATGTTACATATTACTAGTATATAACATTTTGGGGCAGTTTTGAGTAGGAAGTTTTTAAATTTTGACATAGCAAATGTTGGAATAATTAGTGGCTGAGTTTCAATGGAACTTTTCCTCTGATTCTGATTGATTAAACTTAATGGAAGAAGAGACATGGTTACTGTAAGTAAAGTAAAGCCGTCCTACTACACACCATGTTGGTCGTTCGGGGGTGAGAGGAGGTATAGCTCCTACTCTTTCTTGACCTCGGCACTAGATGGGGGTAAGTGGTGAGCATGCCGCCCAGGCCGCGCTTTACCTCCATTGGATAGGAGGCTGGGTGGGCCCCAGAGTCTGTCTGGACGCAGAGGTTAGAGGAAAAATTCTTCGAACTCCAGTTGCCCAGTCCGTAGCTAGTCACTAGACTATTCTAGTTAAAATCTACCACGCAACTTTATACTCTAATACGATAATTTACCAATGCTGGTATTTTCCGTTCAGGCCGAAACGGTTCACACTGAAGCAGTCCAAACAATTCTGGTTCACGTGTCGTGACCTCCATCTCACTCTGTATAAATCACGGGAGGAGGCATCCCAAGGAGCTGAGCCAGCGCATCACATCAATCTGCGTGGCTGTGAGGTGACGCCTGAAGTCAATATCGCTCAGGGTAGATACGGCATCAAGTTGGAGGTACCTAGTGCTGAAGGCATGACTGAGATGTTCATCCGTTGCAATACTGTGAGTATTTTATATTGTGTTGAATTCACCGGTAATTTGTTTAACTGATGACAATTACCTGTCCCCTTCCCATACAATAATCAATATGTAAAGTAATGATAGATCTAGTCTATACAACTTGCTAATATTATCTGTAAAGCTTTCATTCTTCTGGGTATCAGGAATATTATCTTTTGCACTGAAAACTGCGAGACTTAATTTTGCCGGTGTTCATCTTCTGTTGGAGGTGCTGAAATATTCCATAAAATTACTCTCATCTACTTTAACCTTTTAATTGCTATGTCTTACTGTCATTTTAAAAGTAAATGTCCGATATGGAGTTGGCTGGGTAAACATATTTTTCAGTATTTGGAGTGGAAAGATGAAGTGACCATAAAATATATCGTGCGCAAAAATCGTATGATTATCACACGACTTCACATGTTAATATAAACATAACACATAATTACCTGTTGCCAGCTGAGATGTCGTTCAGCAATGAAATTGAAGGTGGTAGCAGTGGCTCACTTTACCTGCAACAAGAGAAGAATAACTTTCTAGTTAAAGTGTTGCAGACTCTGATACAGAGGCATATTCACATGTTCTGTAACATCGCTTTCATCTGAAAAATGAAATCCATACATTTTAGCTAATGAGAATTGAATTTTTTCATAGGAGGAGCAGTATGCCAAGTGGATGGCAGCGTGTCGATTAGCTGCTAAGGGAAGGTCTTTGGCGGACAGTTCATACGATGCTGAAGTGAAATCAATCGTAGCTTTCTTGCAAATGCAACACCCTGCTCCTACACCTGCCATTAATCCTTCAGCACTCGACATCATCCCAGAGGACTATGTTTCACCAAGATTCCTAAGAAAGTTCAAAGGAAAGGTATGTTTCCAGCGTACTGTGTTCTTATAGTCTATATTACAGATTTTTGTTCCACAGTAACATAATTTTTTTTAAAAAAAATTCATTTTGTTTTAGAGTAATTAATATTGCTGGATACACGTTAAGAATGGTTCCCAGTCGTAAGGATTTGGAAATGTTTACTTCAATTTACAATTTGTTTTATTGGTATTATCACCAGAGTGATGTGAGTGAATACATATGTTTCAACGTAGCGTATATGTTTATTCAAACAAACAAACACATTTTTTTAATATAAGTTTAATGGTTTATTTGTTACCAGAAGACTTCAGCACAAAAGACTCTTCACATAATAAATTGATATATAAGAGATTATAAATTTAATTATGTATTATTGTGCGAGAGAATAGGTGGTATAAACCTCTATACTATGAATTTTCTGGCTCAAATTTAACACGAAGATTATACAGTGTAGTATCTGTACTTTCAGTTTGTAATAAATGAACACCAAGATCAGTGAGAGATGTGAAAAGTATGAAATGCATTTGAAAATTCCCTGTATTTTAAACGGGAGCACAATTTATTCAAAGCACACTTTTTTTTATTCCTTTCAGATTCTGGTCTTCTGGGTTGTGACATCATGCTTCTTAATGTTTAGGTTAGAAGACAAAAACAGCGGGTTCCTCTAAAATGTCCGTAACCAGCTACAAGACTACGTGGTGTCATAGCCCACAAGACCACTGTCTGAACCCCCATTGCCATGAAAACCAAAACAAATTTTCTACTCATGAAGATTTCTGTCTTCTGGGTTGTTGCGCTGCGTAGTATGGTAGATGTTTACCAACGCTGGTAAACAGAAAGACAGAAATCTTCATACTCGCCGCTGTGAAAACATCAAATCTTTACATTTTCTACTCATAATTGTTTTGTAGTTTAAATGTCATTATTATAATTTAATTCTTTGTTATGTTAATATAATGTTGTCTCTTTAAAACAGTTGGTACAAAGGATTCTGGAAGCTCATGCCAACGTAAAAGATCTGCCACTCGTAGACGCCAAACTGAGTTATATCAAAGCTTGGCAGTCACTGCCAGAGTATGGCATATCACTGTTCATTGTCAAATTCATGGGCCACAAGAAGGAAGAACTATTAGGAGTAGCGTTCAATCGGCTTATGAGGATGGATATTGGCACAGGGGACCACATCAAGACGTGGCGATACAACACATTGAAGGTAGAGTCGTTAACTTGAGCAGATATCTAGTGAGGTAGGAAGACCACATGTTATGATATTACGAGTACAGTGGGTACTCAATATCCGTTGTTAATTGGTTCTTTAAAAGTGTGACAGATAAGGGAGAAAACAAGTAGGGAGCAATATATTTTCATGGAAAAATGATAATTCTTTCTAGAATAATCTTGAACATTAAATTTTACTTCTTCAGAGATCACCCTCCGTCAGAATTTTTCAAGCCAGACATTATTTCCAGAAAATTGAATCTGGAAATATTATCTGCCTTGAGATTGTCAAAGATCCTCTTAGCTTAGGTTTCTCCCTTATCAAAATGGAATTCACTATATCTTCCTCAGCTCGATCATGAAAAATCCAAATCATCGACTTTTCCATTTTCAGCAAAATTTTCATGTTTTAATGTTGATCCTGATTTTGGGTGCTGTCACCCTGTGGAAGTGAGCTGCATTTCTGAAATTTTAGAGGAACACTCGATCGACCAGAATTAGTACCTCCAGATTGCTTTAGTAATTCTGTCATATCCTCAGAAATTGAAAGACTTGTTTATAACTCGACCAGTTGTCACTGATACGGAAAATAATTGAATTGACAAATTTAAAAATCTCTTGCTATTTGAAATCAAATTTGTAATTGAGGTAATATTAAATAGGTGATTATAGCAATTGGATTTTTCTATTGTCTTGCGAAATAAAATTTATATTTTCTTTTATTTCAGGCATGGAATGTGAATTGGGAAGTAAAGCACATGATGGTACAGTTTGAGGAAGGAAACATCATCTTCAGTTGCCTGTCTGCTGACTGCAAAGTCATCCACGAATTCATCGGTGGTTACATCTTTCTTTCCATGCGATCGAAGGAAGCCAATCAGACCTTGAACGAAGAATTATTTCACAAGCTAACTGGTGGATGGGTTTAATACTGCAAAATTTCAGTATAGTCAGCGCAGTAGTTTTTGGTCGGTGGACCGACTATACCAGTAACTTGAATATCTTTTGAACTGATTCCAAATGTGAGTACAAGTGAAACACGTGCCTTTCCTGCTGTGAATTATCAAGAATTGCAATCACTGGTCTTGGATCTTAAAATCTCTTTGTCGGTCTGTTAAGTAATATCGGTATCCTACATGCCACGCTGTTTGTGAAGCTTATGACGACCTTTTAAGATAAATATATGGTAAGAGGGAGGTCGGGATTTTACCCCTTAAATTAGACAATGAAATGTAGTGGGATTTTTTATAAATCACTTCCACGCCATCTTTTAGGACTTCGGTGAGAAACATTACAAGTTCTCAGAATTAATGGACCAGGTATAATATAAATCATAGTAACTACAATTATTAATTTTTAATGAGGTTTTTGCAGTGTTCACTTAGTTTCTAGTGCATTGCTTCTGCTGCGATGGTTTTATTCTATACTGAAAAACAGTTCTTGGAAACCATGAATATATATATATATATATATAGCTCTCGCATCAAAGAAAGTTAAAAATAACGTAAGTCCGATAGATCTCTGTGTGAGAGCAGTGCTCCTTCCTGATGGATAGTTCAGGAAAAATCTTGATTTATGAATGTTATTAACATCTATTGCCCCCTGCATATATTTCCTTTGAAATATATTACATAACTATTTCCTGTCGTTATAAAACAATTATTCGGGTCATGAATAGATCTTGACAATATCTTTGTATTGTTTCATATTTTATTTTATGGTAGTACATTAATATCTTGAACATTCTGTTTAACACACAAACTGTTTAAGAGGTCAGTAATGGAATTATGAATTGTTCAGAACATGATATAATCTGTTGTTTTCAGTGTTTTATTTAAGACACAAATGAATTTTGTTAAAACGTAATGAGAAAATTGAACATAATGTAAAAAGAAAATGTTTATTTGTAAATACAACTCTAATCGACTGTAGACGTAGAGATCAGGGTGGGTTGTAATTTATAATTTGTGAGAACATTGTTTAGAATGTTACAGCTCTGTCATTCTGCTATCATTGTTAATACTATTTGTAATTAATCGTTACCTTTAAAAAAATAATGTAATTGTATGCTAATAATGTTAATGAATTAAAAAAAATGATAAATTGTTACTAGGCAAATGATATATAGAAAATGAAAGTGTATTTCTATCGAAAGTTCTAATTCTCAATATATTTTAATTTTAACAAAGATGTTTGTGTGTGCTTTGAACGCTCCTAGTATTTAATTTTTATAAATAAATCAGGAGATGTAAATTAATCCCAGTTCTAACACATCATTACTCCTCGCTGCGATACTGGGAACGACCCGTTCTTCAAGTGCCTGAGCACTGCGGGTCCCAAATTTTTCGTTGGTTTTGATCTATAGACATTTTGATAGGACTCCTTGGACGAGGGATCGGGCCCGTCGCAAGGCCTCTACCTGTACACAGGACAGCACGACACAGAAAAACGCGGACAAAAACATCCATGGCTTGAGTGGGATTCGAACCCACGGTCCCAGCGACCGCGCGGCCACTGCGGACCCCGTTACTCCTCACAAAGTCCATAATCGGTCTTGTGTTTTTGCTGTTGCGTTTTCCTAAAATACGTGTGTGATTAATTTCAACAGATGTAACATAACAAGGCCATCTGGTTAAATTTATTTTGTGTTAACGTCAGATTGCGCCAAACTATAAAAATTCAAACTGAAGATCACTGAGGCCATTGAGGGTGAATTCTGAGGCTATCAGAGGCAACTACGTGTCTGCCTATCCTTCAGGAAAAAGGAGACGGGTCTCAGCCAACAAATTCTAATGGTCAAATAAAAAACTGTCACCCAAACTTTGCCCTTCGACAAATTCAAGTGTACCGGCACGTAGCATGAACAGACTAATGTGTTTTGCATTTCCTTGAATACACAGCGATTCTTTGATTTGCTGAGGACGGTAAGCTACTGACGTCTACTGGAGGGCGGATTATTCTCTGTTTCTTTTCTCCCTATTTCCTCTTTGTTACACAGTAACTGTCCTGAATATCTGACGTACACGCAACGGAAGTGTCGGATAATAAGGAGGACTAATTAATTTAAATACGAATTCAGTTTATAACTTGATTATGATATGAAATATGAAGAAAATGCAATATGACATTAAATGTAAACATCTCATAAACAAACAAATGTTTGTAAATGAAAAAAGTTTATTTTTCGAAGAAATTAATGATGGGTTCTGAACCTCCTCTCTCTCTCTCTCTCTCTCTCTTTTTGTAGCAAGGTCATGCCAGCACCTGAACAGTCGTCAACTCCCAGTAAGTGCAGTCTCAGTGGAATTCAGTCCCTCACTATGACCCAAAGCACGTAAAATAAAATGGGATTTTCGATAACCGACGGTCACGAGTGAACACGAATCAGTCCACACAACTACTTCTGGTAAAAATGCAAAAAGGAATGACTACAACTTTTTTTCATTATTATTTTAAAAGGGCGTTAATGTGAAACAGCTTAAAATGCATCGTAAAGTGGGGCCTACCTGTACAGCATTCATGAAGACAGTATTTACTCTGCTCTGTAGGCCTGTCATACCGGGAGTCCATAAGTCAACGGATGATTTTAAGGACATGTAATTATTTATAACACACACGAAAAATGTATGCGTGAACTTCCGTGATCACATGCGAAAAAAAAAGGAATGTAACTTTTATATTACGTAACAAATAATTACAACCACTTTAATCGTAAATAACATCATCTAAATCCCTTCTGAATTATAGCAAGAAACTCTAGTACGTTAAAGCTGGAAAAAAAATAAAAAATAAACGCATGTATACGTGCTTGTTCTCAGCTTTCAATTTAATTTAATTCCTATAATTTATCCAGGTTGACATCCCCTGAACCAATGGTCGCCACAAGAAAAACTTACAGTTTGAAGTTCCCATTTATAATGACGAAATCTCAGCTCACTGAATTTCCATCACTGTCAACGAAGTGATCTGAAAAGTCGTTACTGACGTCTTAATTACATTTGATAACTGTGATTTCAGCATTCCAAAGCAACTAATCCGTCCTCTAAGACGTATGATTACGTACGTTTGTCAATATTCTGTCACAGCAAATCTGCAATCACGCACTGATAACAAATCATTCACAAAATCTTATGTTCGTCACAGCTAAGGGAAAGGACAACAGCTAACAGTCGCTCAGCTAGTCAATAATTTCGTGTCATTTATGGAAGCAAAAGATTTATTAATGTTTACAAGAACCCTCCAGAAGTTCCCGTCAAATGAAACCAGTCCAAATACTTCGACACAATTTCGTTACGACCTAATTAAACCAAAGCGTATCACCCAAACTACTACACCAAAGTTTTCTTTAAAAGTGGTGTCTCCATGTCAGGTTTCCCGACCAAAATTTTGTATACACTTCTCCCCATGCATGCTGCATGCCCTCCCCATCACATCAATTTGATCTGATCATAACGTCAGTTCGTAGCTGCGGTTTATATCGGATTTGCAAGTTATTATAACGCAAACTCAAAGCGCCTACCGTACCAATTTGACGGTCCAAAACTCGTAGGCTTCTTCAAGCACTCTCTCACTCTGAAATCATGGGTTCGATTCACATTGAGGGTATATATTACGCCTAAACTTTTGTGTATTGTCCTCTGCTTGAGGGGGGAGGAGTGGGAGTTCTGTGGTAGACCACAGGGCTACTCGACGAATCGTACCAAATTCCTCATAAAATGAACGAAAACAAAATTTCTACGACGCAACAAAAATGGATTAAGTAAAGAAACTTTAAAAATTTGACACATTATACAGTTAAAATGTCAGAAATCTTAAGGCTACAAGTAACAATATTATATAGATCATTATGACTGACACGCCGGTAAGTATTACGTCATCATTTCCAGTAGCATACCAAAGTGGATAATATTAAAGTTGGAGCGCGAAATAATGTGGTGTATCGGCGACAACCGACGAATTTTTATGGTGACATGACGGAAAAAATGATTAATTATATCCACCCAGCCTCCTGTCCAATGGATGTCAGGAGTCCCTTCCTCGGGGTAAGTGCGGCCGAGGCGTGACGCTGACCACTCACCTCAGATAAGAAGATACGTACGACAATAAAGTTTTTTAAAAAAAGCAAATTAGTTCCGCAAATGTTTTAACGTCGCTTATTACAATGAAACACAAGACCGGAAGTACAGAGTAGTACATCCGAAATAGATAAATATGAAAGACAAAATTAATTAAATGATAATAGTATAAGATTTCTAACAATGGATTTAAGAAATAAATTAAATGAAAGATCTAATCTAGAGCATATATCAAGCAGAATAAAATTATACTCAATACAAATTAAACGATGTCAATCACGTTTTTGACACATGCCATTGTTTGACGGGTGATTGACATTTTACTGAATATCCACATTCCAGTTGCATGCCAACACTATTGTAAGATACACGATTTTTGACACTTGAAGGCAGCCAATCACGTTCCCGTGATGCTACTACCTGTAACAAGCACTCGCTGATTCATACAGTCTAGAGACTACGTAATTCTAGCAGATCTAGGGGTGTATATTAAATAGTATGACTACATCAACATACATACAGGCTTATAAAACATCCATCGCTATGTTTTAATCCATAGGAACAGCTAACGGGGTATGAACATGGTTGTCTTCTTGGGGGTAGCGCCGTGTAGCCTAGTACATATAAGTTTACCGACGAGGTCCTCTAAAACGTCAGTAAATTTCTACCAGACTGCACTGCGTTATAACCAAAATACATCCATCTTCAGACTCACCGCCACGAGAACACCAAAGCCTACTTATCGAGGTACCATTATGATGTCTCTCGATCTGCCCGACCCACTAGGTTAATTTGCGACCCTACAAATCCTTGAAATATATCTGGAGCACAGTTTGCTATGAAGAATATGAAGATTTTGATCTCAGACAAAAGTTTCACCTCGCTGTCACCAGCTTTGAATTTACGTGCAAAATTTGACTTGTGAAGAAATCTGAAATCGGAAGATACAGTTTCGAATGACCAAATTTATGTCAGAAGTAATTCAATTACTTCCATAATGTTCATTTGAAATCGCATTTGAACCAATCATATTCCTGGTCTCGAATGACACAAAGTTTAATGCCATCTGATTGAATTTTCTTCGTGATTCCTTCAGCTTGTGCAACACCTGTCTGTTTCCGTATTTATGAAATTGGCGAGTCCCCCTAATGGTCTGTGCATGTGTAGTTCACCTTCACATGTCTGACGAATTTTTCTACGTACATCCGGAACTGCGACAAAAACGTACAAAGTAGGGGGTTTTTTTCTTCGAATTTCTGCATCTCCTACGCGTGGTGATATACGAAAGATGGTAAAGTTAAACTAGAAACATATTTGTTGAAGCAAAATTTTTCCGAAAGAACTCAAAAATTCAATAAAACTTTTATCACGCGTTAATAACGTGTATTTTCTTAGAAGACAGACCGGAAATGCGAGAGTCTGAAACAGAAACTGTATGACAAAGTACGATTTCATCTAAAGAACCCTAGCAAATCAACATCTAGTGGTAGGAACATGGGGTTTGCTCCAGAACATACAAAAAGATACTGGTTTCTTGACTAATGAATTATTTCGTTTGAATCATGGACACTTTGTCCGATAACAAGTGATATTTACATTACAACCCTCTAATCGAAACGTAATTCTTTAACTACGAAACGAAGCACCTGTCTGATTGGCTTATCCGCTCCAAGTGACCACGCCTAAAACGTCAGGAGTAGAGAATCTTATAATAACTAAATTAATAATACGGGCAAAGTACAACTGATAGAAATAGTATATATTAAAAGTGCGAGGAGACTACTGTCAAAGTGTTCCGGTTACTGCATTCAACTACACGAGGACAGACAGTCAACAAAATAGTGCATTATGGCAGGTAAGGTGTAACCTTTTGAAGCTCGCATATACAGTATTAAGAATTCAGTGCGTACCGCAAAGAAAACACCGTGCTTCGAAATTACAAAGATCAATTTATTAACTATGTGCACTGTTTACACTAAGACCAATACGAAAACATAAATAAAAACGCAGGCTTACTATTTCGTAAGTTTTACTTAATGTAGTTTATATATTACACTTATGTCTAAGCGCAGACCGTCCATTTCTCTGAACACCTCTAACATACCAACCACACCGAATAATTTTAATAGCGCAGCGTTAAGAATTACTCATAAGTTCGTTACGGGAAAATTAAAAGAAAATTATTTAAAAATTTAAATCAAACGTATTCTACGCGTTAAGCAAGCAACTGCAAATACACTGATTGAGATTAATAAATTAACGTCAAATTGTTCAAATTGTGAGATTCAGTATTGACAGTGACAGATCTTTCGCCCAGAAAAGCAAGCATTCGACCTAAAACCTGCACAAAGTAAGAGACAGATATTACACTGTAGTATAAGTTAATGAAACATGGACAAGCGAGTATTGGGACAATAAACGATTATGGTTTGTGAATTCCAGGAAGTACGACACGCAACATCCCAGCTGTGCTCGCAGTTCTCTCACTGTGTGTCGCTTTGGGGGCGACCAACCCTAAGGGGCAGGCAAGATCCTCCTCGCCCTGCGCTTCAGGAGCGGCTTACTACTCCGACTCCAGTGACTGCAATGCCTATTACCAGTGCGTATCAGGGGCAGGCGTTCAACTGCGCTGTCAACCCGGACTCCACTGGAACAACGTAGCCGTCACATGCGACTGGCCGGAAACTGCCGGTTGCGTGTTGGAAGCTCACGGCGGAGATGACGAGGACAAGGACGAAGTCGGTGCGGGCGATGTCGAAGACGAGAAGGAGGAAGAGGTAGAAGAGGAAGAAGAAGAAGAAGAAGAAGACAGTGGAGACAGTGGAGACAGCAGCGTGAGCAGTGGCGAATCCGGCACCAGCGAGGAATCCGTTGAAGGCAGCGAGAGCAGCAGCGAGAGCAGCAGTGAAAGTGACAGCGAAAGTGACGAGTGTGAGGATGACGACAGTCACCCCGAGTGCCCTAAGGAAGGCTCTGAACTTACACAATTCATTCCTCATTCTAACCCTACCCAGTTCTATCACTGCAGCAACGGAATAGCGCCCAACACCACAAAAGGGCGGGGGTAAACACGGGGGGTGACATTGAAACCAACTATTCCATATTATAGGGATGTTGCTGGAGAACCATCTTGTACATGGAGTAACACTGAAATGGCTGTACGTGATTCGACAGTAACCAGAGGCGATGGTTCGGTGCGCTTTCAATCGATTTGAAGCAATGTAGTCCAATGTAGACAATTGTAATTAAATATCATTAACACTGGGTGTTGGGTGTTGTAATTGTAATTTCGATTAGCAAATTTATAATGTGTTGTTCAAGCCTCATAATTAATTAATGCAATAAAATTTAATTCATTATGTGGTATGGCAGAGAACCGCCTACTGAATTTTGATTATTTTAGAAAGTAATCTCAGGTGAAAATAATTTCTGTCTTGTACAACGCAAATGAGTTATGATTGAAGACAAATTACTAGCTGTATATTTCGAAGTGGTATATTAAAGAAACTGCTTACAAAACAAAGCTGATTAACATGATTATTTCCCTATGAAATGTAACTTTCCTCTGATAAGAATGAGCTGTTTAGACTCTTCAGTTGATATGGAATTTTTCGGTCATTATTAGACAAATTATTTTAGTCGGCAGGCTACGGACTTCGCCGTAAGACAGTAAAAGCGACCTCTCATTGAAGCAAATTCCCCATTTGAAGCTATCATCCCGCTTAAGATGGTTTAAATCAGTGGTATTCAACCTTTTTTGTTCGCGTACCCCCAGATATAATTTCCCTTCAACTTTGTACCCCCAAAGTTGTTGGTGTATAATTCAAGTTATACATAGTATATAATCTACATCTAAAATAAATTAAATAAATTACATCAAAAATAATGTATTAAATCTGGCTCTGATTATTCAGTGCTTATCATAAAATAATATTTTTTTAAAATTTTACGTACCCCCTAAGATGTCTTCGCGTACCCCAGGTTGAATACCACTGGTCTAAATGACAAAAATATTTAAAGTTCCTCCAGTCTAAATGTAAAGAAATACTATGTTCGTTCAGCCCTTGAATTAATTATAAGTTACAGCACAAAGAACACTGTAATTTTTCTACATGTTTCTGAAGAACAAAGCATGGACAAGAAACATACTGAAAACGTCATACAAATCCCGCCGGTACTACCAACTGGAACCTAAAGGAGCTTCTCTACAGTAATCACTGAGCCCAAACACCTGAGCTTCACTAAAACATCCCGCACTTCGTAGCATAGACATTCGATGATATGGACCAGAAAATAAACAACACACAACGTTTATACGTACCTCCCGGATATTCAATATATCTAATTTGGGATCTATATTTTTCTCACGGTAAAATGTTTTGATGCTGTTTTCAACAAAAACAAATTTGTGCCCGAATTTATAACTTGTGTTGGGCAAGGCCGTAATGGAAAATAACAGAAGACTTGTACTATATACAGCCTACATAACCTTACGCATATCCGTCTGTTTTAAGTAAGTGACTTAAACAAAATATTTATGGTGTAAGTAAAGCTGTGAATCCTGAAGGAAAGACATCATTTTAAAAATACTTTCGTAGATGGAAGGATAATATTAAAATGTACATTAAATTAAACGGGTTAGAGCTTGGATTCAGTTAGCTCAAAATAGGGACCAGCGGGTTCATGGAAATGCGCCTTGGGTAATCTGAGTACGTGAGCGACTATCAGTTATTCATTTAGGATTTCGCTCCATGGAGTCATATTTAAGTTGTATAAATCGCGACAATCTTATCCACATTAAGAAGGAATGTCTTGATTTTCCAAATATCAGTAAGTGAACACAAACTCGAACTAACCAACTGGGTGGAGTACACTCCTTGAGAAATCGACAGTCACTCAGCCAGCCAAGATATTGCAAGAATTTTATGGAAACCGAAAGTTCAATACCGTCTTCACAAAAGCCCGCTCGATCACTTGAATACAGTTCACCCCATTTATTCAAGACACATTTTAATATTATCGTTCCATTTTTGCACGGATCTTCACAAACGCCTCCATTCAGGTTTGTCGACGTCTGTATGCATTTATTTAGCCAATATGTACGTGCGTGCATCCTTAATTTCATCATCCTAATAATATCTGTTGCGAAGTACAAATTTTGAAGCTCATTATTACACACATTTTTCCTTATGTTTGGTGCAAACATTCTCCTCAAAACCCTATTACGAAATGACTTCAATGAATGAAATTTATAAATTAACCGATTACTGTTGATTATTCTTAGTAGACCTACTTATTTTCATCTTTTAATTCAATAATCTTCTTTCTATGGCGCAACAGCCCAAAGTCGAGCCTTCGCCTACTCCCATGTGGGAAGTTTCTTTGTCTTTGAAGTGTGCATTTATGAGTAATGAGTAACAAGCCCACTGCCTATGCACAATTTCTATTCAATCCTAATTTTGACCGATAGAGTCATCTAGTAGTGAATCAGGAGAGACTTTGGGTAAGAAATGGCCGCTGAATTTTGTTTACGAAACATAAATTCAGTAATTACGATTTAAATTTACCCCGTTAACAACGATATCCCTACAACCATAACAGCCTCTTCAACAAGTCCCACCACATTCGTTAACAATTTCAGTTTATTTTATCACCTATCATTTTATCACTAACAAACTGTCATTCTCACTTCGTCTTCGTCAATGTCGAAGTGGGTGGGGGCATTATTTCTCTATCTCCAAAATTCTGAGGTCATAAAAGAATTTGATGACTGAAATGAAAGGGGCAAGTCTGATTTCTCCTTTCACACACCTGATTATTGGTCTATATTGTCGTCAAAGATTGCCATAATAACAATACCTTCAATCATCCATATTGAATTACAACTGACGCAAAAAGACCACAGAATAATCGTTGCCAAAATATTTTAAAAAAATCTGTAATTCTGACAGTCCAGGCGATACATAAACTATTTAAATTCCAGTAGTAATTACAGGCTCTTCGAAAATTCTCTATAGGCCCACAGTATATACGAAATTCCTAAGCAACAACATACAGAGATTGGGAACATGGTTACTGTCTGGGTTAAAAACACGGATTTATGACAGCTGTTTAATGTTTGCATCCTGGGGTCACGGGTTCGATTCCCGGCGGCGGCCGAATTTATAACTTGTGTTGGGCAAGGCCGTGGTCTAGGCAACACGGAGTTTTCCTCCGGGGGCTTCCCCGGTTTCTCCGGGGCATCCCAACAATTACTCCATTCACACACAGAAGAAGGCAATGGCAAACCACTTCTGGATCATCTGCCAAGAACGTATATGAACAGGTCCCAGTCCGAGAAAAGGATGGAAGGATCCTGTTCATATGGACCTGTCGTCAGACAGAACACTAATTAACAAAATTAATTCTGTACTACCAACCACAACCAATCTCTGCATATTGCAGCCTTGCAACTAGGTATCTAATGAACAGAGACTTTTTAACACCCTGTATATATACTACCTGTAAGAATTTAAGTGTGGGAATGAAATACACCACAACCGCTTATTAATTATTTCCTTTACACTTAATTTTATCACTCTACTTAAAAACTAAGAATCACTCGTAGATGCAGTCATGAAGTTGTATGGCATCCGACTGGTCATTCGTGAATATCAACATTCTTTGAATCTGCACAATGAAAAAATTACAAACTTGAATTGAAACAAATCTGACCTACATTTTGGCAGTTTACTAGAATTTCCTATACTTCTCGTAAAATTAAAACTGTCGTGAACCGACTACCGACAAAATGTTTATAAAAATTTTGCAATAATTATTTGTATCAGAGTAAAACGACCATAAATCATGCAACATGTAACTGAATAAACTCGGAAATTATGTGTACTCAACTATGCCGTAAATATTTCCACATGCGTTATAATTTTACAGGTAACGCCAGCTTATATGCAAATTAAGGTGCCATAATTCAGTTGTTAACTCCCTAACTGGGATCATTTTTCTACCGATGATTGGAAGATAAAACTATTCTGCAACAATTAAAGCAAACGAATTAAAACAAACTTAAATCAGAAAATAAATAAACAAAATAAATAAGGTATGAGAGAAATTGGCGTACGGAAAATTCTTAAAAAATATTTCTTAGTTGTGTAAGTACAACTATTTTTTTTTTTAAAAAAAAGGTCATTTGAAGCTACTAAAACCAGACACATAAAACGCGGTTCGTACAGCACTGCACACGAGTCTCTGTGAACATATTTCTTGCACATGAATCAACGATGGCTTTTCCACTTTATAATTCATACTTGGAAGAATACAGTCACATCCAAAATAAGTGAGAAAAAATGACGGAGATAGAGTCCCATCTCCGAAACGTCGTTTTACGTTTTATATTTACTAGACGATGGATAACATCCAAGAAAATTTTTATTCAATTGAGAAAAAATGAATTCAATAATAATAAGCGAAATGATAATAGGTGTCTTCATTCTAACACAATCCAAAGCACCGTGCGGATTATAAAAGATCAAATCAAGATAACATCAAGAACAATAACCACTAGAAGATGTCAATCACGTCCATGACAGATGTCATATTTTGACAAATGACTGACAGTAAACTGAACACTCATATTCCTATTATATGCCTGATTTAACTTATTAGTGCGGCCAAAGTACACTGACGGAAATTGTATATATAATACAGTATGAACAGTTTCTTGCCAGTACACCATCCTTTTCACCCAATTATACGAGGGCAGAGCACTAATTGATACAGCATTATGGCAGGTAAGTCAGATTCAATACGTAAGTATGGGCCTACTGCTGTAAGCAAGTCACAAAATCAGAAGTTATTCATGATTACACAATTTATTATCTTCTCTAAATTTATTTTACACACGAAAAATATGTATCTAACACCGGTATTTTAAAAAGACGAGTGTTCCTTAACCGTCTGCCGGCGGCAGATTTTTTACCGAACAGGAAAACTTTTAAGATCGAAGGCGTTTCCGTTCTTAAAGCTGTTCGAAGATGATTCCAAGGATAAGTAATTACTCAGTAGGAAAGAA